AGGGGAGGGGCGGCGGCGGGGGGAGGAAAAAGCTGAGGGAAAAAACCTTCATTTCCCCACCTAGAGGAAGGGAAAGGGGTGATTTTACACACACACACACACACCCCAATTTCTCAGGATCAAAATTTAGTGGGAGAGCCGGGAGTCAAATCCAGGCTGCTTTCCACGGGGGGCGGTTCCTGAGCACCGTCTCCCACGGCGGGGAGGAAGAGCAGGCCGAGCTCCGGGCCCTCGCGCCCGCGGGGACGCCGTCTCCCAGGGAGAAACGGCGGACAACGAACGCGGGGCAGAACGCAAGCGCTGCCGTTCAATTTTAACAAGTCTGCGGCCACAGGAGCCGGTACGGACTCCAGCTCTTGCTCGTGTAGCCGCGCTAGGCGCGCGGGGCTAGGGGAAATCCCGACCCAAACTTCCCTTTGGTCAGTAAAGCGGGGAGCCTGGAGTCGGTACACCCACGGAGGGGCTCTGGCAGGCTGCCACCATTACACAGTCCCTTTTCAGAACGCAGCCTCGCACTTTGAAGGACTGGAAACACGAAAGAGCCCAGATGGATTCAATCACCACGAAACGCTTCCAGCACTGTGGGATGACAACTGCTCTTGGGGACAGACTCTTTATTGTTTATAACGCTCCTCGGAGCGCAAGAGGCTATAAACATCACACAAGGGGACAGACAATTATATAACAAGCTCGGGGGAAGGAGGAGAACTACATTATCCTAACACGACACAGATGTCCGCTTTCCTTGCTACGGAACCGAGTCAGTGGTAGCTTTCTCCTCGGTGCGGCTCGTTGCACAACACTCCCCGGCGCACTAAGCCAGCTCCAGCTGCCCGTTCTTCAGCGGGGAGAGCGCACAGTTCGCGGCCCGGTTGAACGTGTCGACCTCTGGCACAAATTTCTCGGCAGGGACCACGAGCTTTCTCCGGCTGTCCAGGCACTTGTTGTCCAGCACCAGGGAATTGGCTTTGTAGCCAGTGTCCGTCTGAATGCGGTGAAGTTGTCTGAAAAGAGCGTCCAAGGCATCCCTGGGAACAAGCAGAAGCGAGAGGAGTTGGGTTCAAGCACTGCATTCGCTTCCCAAGTTGCACAGGAAACACCCGACTTCCCACTTTCTGGCAGCAGAAATATCTGTGCGGCATTTGCCTGTGTACGAAGAACGAATGCATCGGGTATTTCGTGGTGTGTAGCAGCAGCATTGTTTGGGTCTGTGAACAGCAAGCCCACGTGCTGCTCCTGGAGCGCAGCGCAGAGATGTGCGCCCTGGGAGCCCACGCCAGCCCAGAGCAGCACTTCTGCTTCTTCCTTTACTTTTCATCCTTTTTTTTTTTTTTCCCCCCCCTTTTAGAAATGTCTGTGCCTGGTTGAAGCCAGAGTCAAGCAGGGACCGTGGGAACCCCATTCACCCTCCCACCACACAGACCTCTCATACCTTGCCTGCACCCTGCTGCCAGTCCGGCTCCCCACCAAGCCCAAAGACTATTTCCACTCCTGATCCGAGCAGACACGAGCTCCAAAATGCAGCTTCTGGGAAGTGTGCCAGGACGTGGACATACCCACGTCCCTCACGCGGGCAATGCTGGGCCACTGCTCTGCCCCGGAGAGCAGAAGACTTACTGTGACTCTGCCAGCTTCTGTCTGAGGGCACGGATCGTTCCCTCCAGCTGGTGGACCTCATCTGTTAGCCCGTACTGGACCTGCGAGGTGGGGAGGGAGAAGGTGACAGCAGTTAACAGGGCTGAAGTGTTGTTTCACAAAGGCCACGGTTCTCTCATTCCCCTTCTAGCCCAGCTATGACATTTATTGCCTTGCTTTGCTACGTGGCTGTAGGATCCACTGCTCAGCCCCTCTGTAGTTTCCTCCAAAGCGCACCCACATTTTTCAGACCCACGCAAGCCCCCATCCTGGTCAGTTCCCCCCAGTCCCTCCTGGCAGGGAGCGTGCCAGGTGAGGCTGGTACCTGATCCCGACAGAGCTCCATATGGGGCCGATACGTGCGGGTCTCCAGGCGGGTGTGCGCCACTTTCAGATCTTTGGTTTTCCTTCGAAGACCTTCCTCCAAGCGTCGGATGTCCTCCTCCATCTCAGCAATTTCCTCCAAGGTCTACGGATAAAAGGCACGTATCGTGAGGGACAGCCAGGGATACAGACTGGAAAACAGCCTCTCTGCGTCCTGGGATTTTACTGTGTGGGAAGGGGTTTTAAACAAGGGCTGGTGGGCTTCTGAGTACTGAAGCCCTCTGCTCATAGATCGGGCTTTTCACACGGACCAGGCATGGTGCTGCTGGTGTTTTATGGCCACAGCGGTTGAGACCAGGGGTGAAATAAAAAGGCCAAGATCTGGCACGGCTGCTGGGAAATGCCAGAGCAGCAACTGTGATGGCAGAAGGAGGCAGGATGTTGCAGGGATCATGCATGTGCCACTTAACAGCTCTCATGTGGAAACCATGCTCAGGCCAAGTAGCTTTCCACATAACAAACATCCTTTTGGATTCAATTCCCACCCAAGTTTGTGTCCAATAACCAAAGAAGCAACATTTACATTCTGCTCCTGCCATTTCAGCTCATCATAGGCTCTTTCCAGGTCTCTAATCCTCTTGCGCAAGGAAAACTCTGTAGCTACACGCTGAGCCTCCAGCTCGTTGTTTGTCTGAAGAGAGAACAGGCTCCCGTCACACACACCTAGAAGGTGCCTCCCTCCCAGCAGTTGCCAATACGACCGCCACGTGATAAGACCTCCCGTGAGGTTGGGACGAGCCTATGAGCAAAGCCAGCTGGGTTCTGGCTGCTGCCATGCACGTGCAGGTCACGCACCCCCCTGTAGCCAAAAGGCGGGGAACGATGGACAGGTACGTGTCCTCCAGGTTGCCGAGACTGCTGCAAGCTCCGCAGCATAATCAAGCTCCCCTTTTAAACCAGGAGGGCAGCTGCTCTCCGAGAGGCCCATGGGCCAATGCTGTCTTTTCAAAGACTCCCTTCCCCTCGCCACAGCACATGCCAGCCCGTTCTCCCACACTGGATCCAGAACTTCTGCACCACCGAATCACAGCCAAGGGACTAATTTACCTGTGCAATGGCAAGCACTGTTGCTTCTCGGAGCTCAGTCGAGGCTTTAATTTCTGCCTCAGCATGCTCCTTGTTACGTTGGCTGTTCTGTTCCCACTCATCAAGTGCAGTTGATCTGTGAACAATCAGTAGTTATGAAAATAAGTTGAGTGTTTGCAAGACAGTTCAAAAGGAACCACCTGCTGCAGGCCAAGAAGGCTTTGTGCAGTGCAAAATGATTCAGGAATTCTGGAGGTCACGTCCTGTCTGATCTCCTCACCGCACCAGCTGGAGATTGCTACCCCATTGCTCCTGCACCGAGGCCAACATCTGCTCCAGCCGAGGACACATCCAAACCGTGCTATGAAATGCCAAGCAAGTGAAAATGTGCAGCGACTCCCCCATAAGCTGTGCCAAAGGCTGATACCACCCTGCTTACTGAGCGTCACCTACAGCCGAGCACCAGGGAGGCAGGGCAGCTACCTTCTCTGTTTTTGTGGTGACAATTTAGGTAACTCCCAAAACTCTGTGGCTTCAAAATTCAAGGGCTACAACAAATGCCAGCAGCCAACTCCTGTTCTGAGCTCTCTCTGTAACTGCCACCCATCAAGCCAGGATATATAGCATGGAGGGAAAAAGCACCCCAGGGCTCTTTCAAGCACCAGCACGGATTTGGCCACACAAAGGGCAGGCTCTTTCCTTACCCGTCTGGGACCCGTGTTGGGTTGACCTTGAAGGAGATGTTGGGAGAGTTCACGTTGAGGGATAAGCACATGCGATCTATTTCCAATGCTTCCATCTTGCGCTGGTGGTCACAGCTCAGCTGCTGGCGAGCCTCCTGTAAGAGGCTGCGGAAAGCAGGGTTGGAGTCAGCGGGGAGCACGCAGAGGGGAAGAGGCAGCTCGC